CTCATTATCTAGTTTCTGACATCATTTTGCACCCCGCTGCCGTCCCCGCGTGACAGTTCTGGCCTGGGCACCAAACAAAATGACTTGAACTTGGCCACCAGCTCTCACTACAGAGCACAACATCTGCGCCTGGCTGAAGATTTAAAATTATCTGGACTGAGTAGGTTGTTATCTGGACTGAACATTGATCTAAATACTAGTTTCACAGCTTCTCCGAGCCAAGTCAGACAATGCGCTTGTACTCGTTGGCAGCAAGGGACAACGGCCCTCTCAAATACCATAGAGCTTTGGCGGCACCTACGGTCTTCTCCCTGGAGTAAATCCTCATTCTCCACACCAAGGTGAGCCCTGCAGCTCCTTGCAACTGGCTCGAACCAAACATGCCGCCAGCATTCGTAGGCCGAACCGTGGCATTGGCGCCCCTCATGTTGTTCGGCTTCCATGCCAAGGGGCTGTCAGNNATCTCAAGCCTCAGCTAGGTTTAAGTTTAACATGACACTGTCTGACCATTCATTGTTTTTGTGTCTGACCTCTGGCACAGACTTGAGGCCTGGACCTGTCAGGGCTTGTTCCCTGAATGACATCAGCGGGCCGGGAGACATTGTGGCCCCCCAGGGCAAAGTCCATGTAATTCATGGCTTCAACCCGCTGCCAGAGCTTCATCAACGTCATTTTCTCAGAGTCCATATTACCCTCCTGATGACATCAAGAACAAAGAAACAACTCACTCCCATGGATGCAACGCTGCAACATGCTTGCAAGTCTGACTCTGTCACTCAACCTCTCCTCCAGCACCACCACGTCCTCACAGCTCTGGAATGCACAGAGGACGACCTTGTCAGGCGTCTCACTCAGCGCAGTTTTCGCACGCGCATCAGTCACCCACGTTCCAGGGCCGTAGGTCAGGACCGGCAAGGTGTCAGGCACCGTGAGGTCAACCGAGGCTCTCATCCAGAATTGATACTGCGGCGGGGGGGTGTCCTCGTCATCTGGCCCTGGCTCCTCATAGTCCGACGGTGTCACGATGTAGCACGTGACATTGGCAACCCCTGCCAAGGCATACTTTGCCTTGATCTTCCCCTCATCAAACTGGGTCTGGCCACCGAAGACTGAGGACCAGTCAAAGGTTGAGGCTGCAGCAGGGCTGGCGCCGGTGCTGCTGCTTGCTGCAGCCGCTGCTGCACCGGACTGGTATGTTGCATCGAACTGACGCAAGACCTCCTTCCACTCAACAGACCGGACCGGGTCCTGGAGAAACATCATTCTCACATCCCTTGGCAAAGTCAACACGCCATCATTCAGTATGCAAAGCTGAAGATTGGGACGCTCTGCAAGGACAGGGACATCCTGACAATTTCTGATTCATTCTGCTCTTGATTCCAGCAAACTGGCACAACTTGCATGAACACGAATGAATCAGCTGAGACTCCGCTGGCTCCGGGACGAAAGCTGGTCTGCTCTTGTCGAACGGTGCTGCACCCGCCTTCCAGAGGTCCAAGCAGTGCTGCTTGAAGATTCCACATCCTGTCCTTGGGTTGTTCTCCGGTCTCCGGCGCTCTCACTTCATACCAACAAGTAACCACACATCCAACCACACCCTTGTGCACACCAGGGCTCATGAACGCCTTGGGCTCGTCCGTCTGCGAAAAGGACGCCAACTTCATGGTCATCGCAGCTTTCTCCACGCAGCCGTCATATAGCGTGGCATGTGCCAGGATGCAGCGACGCAGCACTGCCGGATCGGTCCCTCAAAGAGCTTTAATCAGCTGAATCATGAGATTGAACAGACTGTCGCATCACCGTGGTAAACTGCTCTCCAAGTCACCCAACAACCTCTCCAAAATGCATCTGGGGATGTCAGCACCACCTTGCCACTGGGCCGTCTCTTGCAGATCGGTAAGATTGCGTCTGCATTCGTGGCTGCTGAACCCGCTCTGCAGCGTGACGTACTCAGCCTCCGGGATCATGCGAGGCCTTTCACCCAGCGTCTGGCGTGTCCAGAGGAGGCTGTTGCAGAAGTAGTTCACGCCGGCCGGGTCCACCTCGATAATTGGATAGTGCATGCAACCATGCATCCTCAAGGTCGTTACATGTTCGTATTATCTTATTGCAACCAAAAGTCTTTCTCAGTGATCTTGCTGGCACGATGTCCGGTGCCCTTTGCAGGGAGGGTGACATCACTGACCGCGAGGAGGTTGACATACGCTTCCGGCGCGGCTGCATTCGCGTGCACATGGGCCATGTCTGGCACCACCACAAACTGCCGGATCTCCAGGTTGTGGTGGATCAGCTTGTCCTCCAACCTCCTGACATAATTGCAGAGCACATGGTCGTATTTCAAAAGTCTGGAAGCCATCCGCGCCTCACATCTGCCCTCAAACATCCGGCCCCAGCCGCTGAGGCAAGGAGCGGGAGGATGATGATGATGCAGGTGCCTGCACTTGCATCATCAGGTTCCCATCACACACACTGATTATTCATTCTTGTGAAGTTGCATTCATGCAAGGCGCTGAGCGGATTGCGGGCCACCACGTCCTGGCACCACTGACCTACTCGGTCGATGAGGGTTTGCGTCAAAACCCCCATCTTTGTCGTGTCCACATATCCGACCGTCAAGATGTCCCCCAGGGTCAGATTTGTCTTCACGCAGACACCCTTCACAAAGGTATCGTAGGTGCTGGGCAGGACCATATCCGTGGTCGTGGACATAAAGGCCCTCGTTTTCATGTGCTCCTCCACCAGCCTCAAAACAGATCAAGAATGGCATGCACAGCCACGGTCAGCTCTGGAAACAACAGACTTTTGAAAGGATGGAACGACTACTATTATTTGCCATGAAATCACTGGTTCCCAATGTTGTTCTGCTCCTTGGCATGCATGACCTTGCGGATGTGGGCCTGGGAGTCGATCTTGGCCTTTGCCATGTTATACTCCAGCATGGCCTTGATCTCACCGAACTTGGCCGCAGCAGCTGCCTCCTCTGCTGCAGCCACGTCCATACTCAAGGAGTCCATCACGAGTGAGGACGGAATCGCAGGTGGTTCGACGAATTCCATCCAGAAGGACAGGGACTGCAGCCTCAAATTTTCCCATCATGGAAGAAATCTCACTCAGAACTACTGACAACCTTCCAGACTGTACGACAAAAAGCCTGAAGGTCTCCGACTTGGTCGTTGCCGCCACGGTGATCTCATCAAAGTGGTCCCTGGCCCATGGGATTAAATTCATGCAAAAATCAAAATGTTCACCTCATGTTCAAGCAGACATAAACCTCACTTAAAACAAGCAAGCTAGGGCCTTGCGTAGAACGCAGCGAGAATGGCTGACTCGATCTCCGGCTTGCTGTTCACCAGCTTGGCTTGGACCCTCACCGACTCCATCATAGCAGCGTAATCGGCCAGCTTCTCGAACTCGGTGGCCGAAAGCCGCAGCCTGCTGCGAGCACTGGCCTTCAAGCGGCGTCCAGCTTTCTCAAACTGCCGCACATGCAAAGTCATCAGCATCTCCTGGGATCGGGGGGTCATCACCAAGTAGGGCTTGACAGCCTCTGCAACGTTCTTCCTGCCAGCGTTCAAAAGCCAACGGCTGGACTTCAGCTGCTCCGTGCTCAACGCGCTTTCCTTCCACTTGAAGAAGTTGAGGTGCCGAGTCATCACGTCTCTGGTCTCCTGACAACACATAATGTGCGGAATGCTATCTCAGGAAAAATCTCGATCAACATACACGCAGGACAATCTCAATAAACAAGCATGGAATGGCCTTTGTAGTGCCCACCAGCAAGTTGAGCAATGACTTGCGCTTGTCATCGTCCAACTGGTGGCGAACATTCAGCGAACCACAGCTGTTGAAGGAGTCGATCGCAGCCTTGAGCCGGGTCTCCGTGTTGCCAGACACCGTCATCTCCTGCAGCTCCATGACGCGGCTGAAGCGGAGGGCCATCTGCAACAGAGTCGGCGGCTGCCGTTCTGCCCCTCTGAAACTCAAGCTCATGGACCGGAAATGCTGGTTGATCTCGGTCATGTCCAATGCCACCTGTAGCAGC